CTGGTCTATGAGAAAAAAAAATACTGCTGAGAAGAGACTCATCAGGCCCAGTCCTGAGCTAGTGCGGATGGGCAGAGAACCACTGAAGTTGTCCCCATTGACGCCAGCCGGAGATTCAACGTAGGGCAACCTGCTGAAAGAGAGACCAGATCAGAACCATTTCCACTGACTCTGCGTTGCCAGCTGATTGGCTGCAGCAGCTGGTCTATGAGAAAAAAAAATACTGCTGAGAAGAGACTCATCAGGCCCAGTCCTGAGCTAGTGCGGATGGGCAGAGAACCACTGAAGTTGTCCCCATTGACGCCAGCCGGAGATTCAACGTAGGGCAACCTGCTGAAAGAGAGACCAGATCAGAACCATTTCCACTGACTCTGCGTTGCCAGCTGATTGGCTGCAGCAGGGGAGGGGCGGGAAAGCGAAGGGAGGATTCTCAGTCACGTGGCTTCTGGGATTGGACGGCTCCGTCCTGATGGCTGTGGCGCAGTGAGGGCTAATTGGTCCCTTGGAGGGAATCTTCACATAAAGGACACGGTGGGCTTGGAAGACTCAGCTGACCTCCGTATCCTTAAAGACAGCTTCTCTCGGTCAGAGATGCCGCGTGTGGGCATAGCATGGGGGACTATTGCTTCCTCCAGGGCTGTCAAGCCAGCCTCGGTTCCAGCCGTAAGCTCACGGGAGGGGAGCAAACCCAGCAGCCAGATGGTTCTGTGGTGTCTAGAGTCTCTCGTGGCAGGACTCAGAGCTGGAGCGACTCTGCTCTGCTGGAACATGATCCCAGGCTCCACCCGACGTTTCAAAGTGGCAGAACCCGCGGTCAGCAGTCCCCAGCTGATCCCAGGCTCCACCCGGCGCTGCCCCTTTGAAATGCTGCAAGGAGCCTGACGCTGGTCTCCCTGTGGCATTTAAGGCAGCAGTGCTACACAGAGCAGCTGACCCCAGGCTCCATGTGGCGCTGCCGCTTTTAAGTTCCCCTTCTCTTCTCTCCCTCCCTCCTCTCCCCTGCCACTTTTATGTGATGGAGGCAGCAAGGGGGGGAGTGACTAGTCGACTATCTCCCTGTGGCATTTAAGGCAGCAGTGCTACACAGAGCAGCTGACCCCAGGCTCCATGTGGCGCTGCCGCTTTTAAGTTCCCCTTCTCTTCTCTCCCTCCCTCCTCTCCCCTGCCACTTTTATGTGATGGAGGCAGCAAGGGGGGGAGTGACTAGTCGACTATCCTGTCAACTGTCCGATAAGCATTTGCTTATCAGATAATCGACTAGTCGACTAGTCCTTTACATCTCTAGTTCATAATCGGGAGGGGCAAAGGTCTGTGCAATATCCTTCTCCACATGGAGGGAAGGGCAGAATTTTCTGTTTTCACTCCCAGGGCGTGTCTAGACTACAGGGATTTTTTGGAAAAAGTGGCCTTTTTTTGAAAAATCTGTCCCTGCCTCTAGACTGCCGAAAGTAAATCTAAAGAACGTGGCAGTTTTTTCGACCATGGAAAACCTCATTTTACGAGGAAGAAGGCCTTTTTTCGAAAGTGCTCTTTCGAAAAAAGGCGCTATGTAATGCAAACTGTGTTGTTTCAAAAGACAGCATCCAGACTGCCGGGGTGTTCTCTTTCAAAAAAGTGGCTCGCTTTTTCGAAAGTACTGGTTGTCGTCTAGACGCTCTCTTTCAAAAGAGGCTTTTTTCGAAAAAGGCGTGTCGTCTAGATGTAGCCCCTGGGAGGTGGGCACCTGAGTGCTAGGACAAGCCCCTAACGCAGTCTTTCCAGAGCTGGTCTCAATGCCTGTATCTTTCTGAAGCTGGGTGTGGCCCTGCCCGTGTGGGTGCTGACGGAACCAGCAGAGACTGTCTCAGCAGGACATAGTACAGGGTATCCAGGATGGCAGGATACGTGGTCTCGGTGGTATCCCACTATCCCAGGTGGTATCCCAAAGTGGGGGGCAAATCCTCACAGTCATGCTAGCCTCGTGGGGAGTGCTGATGTGGGATCCACAAAAGTCTGAGCTTGGCTCCGGGAAGCACTGTGCACACGCCTCTACACAAATGACTCCTGCTAACCTGGATGTGAATGGGACGGATCTGCTGCCAGAGGAGTGTGACTAACCTGCAGGTCACTCGTGGGAGATGGTTTTCTCTTGGCATCTCTCCTTTAACGCTCAGGCAGCTGGACAGGACCCTAACGGAGCTGCTCCGGGAATCAGCTCACTCCATCCCACGTGCAGTGATGCAAACTCTTCTGTCCTTTGTGGGTCGGGCAGAGAGTGAATTTGGCAGAGTTGATCATCATGGCGTCTGAGGACTGATGTACTACAAACAACACCAGACCACCCACAGAGAAAGCCCTGCCCCGCACACGTATGGGACCTGAACCATTCACAAACCTTGTGGGAGAGCACACACCCAGGAGACAGAAACTGAAGGCCAGAGACCCTTATCAATACATTGAATAAATCCCTCATTTCCAGGGGCTGCTGTGTCCGAGGGCAGAAGCTGCCTGCAGACATCGTCATCACAATTACACCCCCCCGCCATCCAAATTCGGCCTCCAGCCCGGTGCAGTTGGGGGCTGTTGGATCCGATGCGACTAAGGCAGCAGCCACTTTGTGAGAGGGGAATCAGACCTCACAGGGAAGAGCCTAGACACAGAATATCGCCCCACTCATCCCGCCCAGAATGTACAGGGGACTCCGCCACAAGGAGGAGAGCTGGGAAGCCTGTTGGGGAGAGGGAAATTCACTCCTGAGTTCACTTTTCCCAGCCAATCCCCACTGCACAGCCCTGCCCTTCTGAGCAGTTAAAGTGGAATGGAACTGAATGTTCCTAGGCTAAGCACCTTTCCTGCAGACCAGCCGTCTGGACATGGCTCCCAGCGACCTGCTCTGAGGTTCCCTGCCTTCTGACGACCTGCAGGGTCCCCCACACCCATCTCAGCTCTCTGCTTCTTCTGGGCTCTAGTGTGACCATTAACCAGGGTTATTTCTGAGTTCCCCAGCCCCGAACTCACCCAGCTCCTGAGCCACAGAGAGGGGCTGACGTGGGCAATGGGCAGTGTCCTGAGCGGCTCTGTGCTGGGCCGGAGGAGAGCTGGGCGGGGAGGTTTATAGCCATCGCGGTGCAATCCCAGCAGGGTTTGGGCCTCCCCTGAGCAGAGAGCATGAGACAAACTGTATTCGGTATTCGGCACCCCGAGGGAGCTGGGGAGGATAATGAGCCAGGGCCCAGCAAAGACAATGGGGAAAACACATCGTGTAATTATCAAAAAAATTGTTTGTTTAGTTATCAGACAAATGAAAGGCCAGGCAGAGTTTGCTGAAGGTCAGGAACTCTTGGCCCCATTCAACTGCTGTAGGTTCTAGGAGTCATTCAGAGATTTGGAGGCAAGAGAATCGCTGAGTGTCATTTGGTGGCTGAAAGCACAACATTGGAGAGTTGCTGCAAATTTGAGTGGCAGTAAGACCCCCCTCCCCCCCCACACACACACACAGCCCAGGTGACAATGCCACGCACTGCCCCTGGGTCTGGCCAACTCTGTGTGATGGTACCGACTGGGCACCCTCAGCAGCTTGGATCCCCCATGACCTTGAGGTTTCCACACTCTGTGGCTGCCTGGTCATGCCAGAGTTCAGGCTCAGGAAGTCCCCAGGGAGAAGTGGGAGTCAGGGTTTGTTCTGGGACTGGAGAGTTTCCCATAAGGCCACCATGGGTCTCTGATCTGGGGCTGGCTCAAGAGCTCAGGGATCGGATCTAGGGGAACATGTAACCCCAATCGAAGGGCAAAGGACCCTGTTGCCAACTCAGCATCTGACTCCTGGATTGAAGTCCCTCATTGCATCACAGTTTCTCTTCCTGTACGTATGGTAGGTATCTGAGAGCATTGCAACCCATTCCAGGTCTAGTATCTAGGATAAGGGTTCCACTAAATGCGCCACGTGGATGCAGCACAGTTGACCCCCTTGGCCAGAAGCTCTCCCATTGGCACAGCACCGTCTACACTCTTGCTTAGGCTGGTATCGCGGTAGCGCTCAGCCGTGGGGAGGTGTCACGACCCGTGCGGCGTATTTATACCGAAGCAATTCCGTCATTTCGGCCTACCCTGCAATAGGCAGCATCGTAGTCAGGGCTCCCTGGCGTGGTGTCCTGACAGACCTGCTCCTTCAGGGATGGCAGCCCTTCGGCTGTGGGCACATGCTCCTCTGGGTGCCATATTGGCTGGTGCAAATAGCCACCACAGCAGACTCTGAGAGAGCCCCCAAAGACACAAAATCAGATAACGATCCACGGTGTCCGGACAGGTTTATTATCAAACAAATCCGGTAATGGCTGTCACTAGACTCTACCAAGCCACTATGTACACGTACCCCCTGACGACGGAGAGCTCAGTCAGTCCCAGGGATGAGACACTGCTCCTTAGCCTGGGCAAAGACAACTCCTTTGGGGTACAAATTTTACACGGAGATACAGACAAGTTACATGTCACTCCTGATGTACCAGGTTGCTGCCCTCTGACACTACTTATATACCACCTCATGCCTGGGGGATTCAACCACTGTCTATTAACCTGTCGGTTTGGACCCAGTCCTGAACCTAGGTGAGAAGGCCTGTTATTTGTGGGGAGGAGGTTGGTCCTGAGAGGTTTCTTCATGAGGTGTTTCTGTTGCGACCCCTTTGGAATGTGCTTACGGCCTGTACCTAGCACCTCTTAGGTGTGAGAGTTTCTCTCATATCAGTCCTGTTCTTGCCAACGTCTGAGGGCA